GGTCCAAAGATCCATCTCTATTCCAATAGAATAACTAATAATATGATTAACCTGGAATCCTCTCAGGACACCATAGAGCAGATCATACCTCTGATAGGCATCTCAAGTTCTAATATCATAGGCTGAAAATGATTTTCAGGGACAGACCTTAACAAGTCTCTCCAAGATGAAAAACTTGGGAATTTCTGAGGAATATCAAAAGCTCTGTAATCAGAAATTAAGGGGAAGAATTAAACTATGATTGTAGTCCATGGAGAGTCAAAGAACCTTTTTTTGAATGGCAAATGACACACAGCTTTTAAACATTCACTTTGGGGTTTTAAATAATGTGCCATGACCTTTACAATTGAAGTGCAGAACTGATTTCTAAAAGCAAAAGCTTAAAACACATTTCTAAAGGATAAGAAATACTATCCCACAAATTTTAAAACTCAGTTATAAAACTGGGTTTTAAAGCAGAAGTTTAAGTCATATTTTAAGTAAGTATAATTTATAACTACAACCCAACATTTGCTCCAAAGATGGTATGAGTATTTGGAAATAAATGTAGGAACAACATAATTTAATTCAACCCTTACCATTCTTTATTAGCAATTTATCCAGAAAAAAATAAAGTAAAATAATATTTAAAAATATTAAAAAATTAAAAACTGGGCTTTCCTTAATTTATATTAACATATAATAATATGCCTCTCCTCATAAATCTTGAATGTCTACTTATAGTTAACAGGAGAAAACAAAAATTCTGCATATTGCTTAATATATTTTGTGACTTCATACTGTCCATATGTCTAATGTCATATCATCCATTTTATATCTTAGCAATAACAACTTAATAAAAACTTGTCACTTGGAGTGTGCATGTATTATTTCTTTTTGTCTGGAATATACTCCCTTGTCTTGTTAAGATAGAAAACTCCTATTAATCTCATATTTCATATATGAAAAGATTCATGTATTTTATTCATATTAAATGCTTTCTGAAGATTTGTTACTCCTAATACAATAATTATTTCATCATAACTAAAATATTTATATACTTTTCTCCTTATCAGATTGCTACATATTTGAGAACAGAGATTTTTCATTTTTTGATTCTCAAAGCCTAAACAAAGTGGGTTCATATTTATAATTACAAATAAATGAAATAGCCATGAAATAAAAGTAATAGTAGAATAGCCAAAGCAATCCTGAGAAGGAAGAATAAAGTGGGGGGGATCTCGCTCCTCAACTTCAAGCTCTACTACAAAGACATAGTAATCAAGACAAATTGGTACTGGTGCAAGAACAGAGCCACAGACCAGTGGAACAGAATAGAGACTCCAGACATTAACCCAAACATATATGGTCAATTAATATATGATAAAGGAGCCATGGACATACAATGGGGAAATGACAGTCTCTTCAACAGATGGTGCTGGCAAAACTGGACAGCTACATGTAGGAGAATGAAACTGGAT